TGGACCTGCAGGGCTGGGCTGGGCTGCTCCACAGACATGAGGTCCAAAAGGAGCAGGAGCTGGAAAGCAGGAGGAGAAACTGGGGAGGCTGATGTGAGCCAATCGGGGCACCAGGAAGCAACCCCTAGGGGGGAGCAGGTGCCCTGGGAGGTGGGGCCTAGGCTGCTGCAGGACCCTGGGGGTGGGAGCCAGGCCTCCCGGGATCTCTTTCTGAGGGTGTGTGGCATCTAAACAAGCGCTGTGAGTTGAGTCTCTGTTCACCGGTTGGCCTTCCCGCCTGTCCACAGCTGCCCTGGAGCCGGGCTCACTGGCTTTTTGGCTGTTTTCCCAGGGCCTCCAGAGGCTGAAGAGACAGCCCAAGGTCCTGTCTTTCCAGGAGCCACCTATTACACACCCTCCACCCACCTCCTCCTCCTTCCCCTCCCTTGACTAGTTAAAAGGTGTGTGGAAAGCACCGCCTCTCACCTTTGACCCCCATACTCCAACCAAAGTCTCTCCTGAAGGACTTGGTCTTGAGGTGAGCCTGCTTACAGAGCGGGCGGGGCGGGGTGGGCAGGAGAGGGCTGAGGGCTGTGCACAAACATAAATTAAAATTAAGGCCTCCAGTGAAGCCGAGATGTGGTTTAATTTCCCATCTGCATGATCACCATTACAATGCATGTTATTGGATATAAAGATAAATCCGGCCCTGTTCCTAATAGCTTTTAATTTCCACCAGACCTGATTATGTCGATGCGGGCTCCTTGTGGGAGTTTCCCAGCATGCTCTTCCCCAGCATCCTGACTGGCTCTCTTGGCCCCAGTGGGGAGTTTTGGACACCGCTCAGATGCAGGCCAGATGTGTCCACTGCTGCTTTGGAAGGCAAGCCTGGAGGAGCCCCTGGCCTGTGTGCATAGGAGTCTTAGATGGGGGAGAAGCAGGGGCAAGCAGGGGGGGACTTTCTGGAAAGATTCCCACTTCAAGGATTCCCATCAGGCAGTGCTTCTCCGTCATGCCCCACAGCCCACCTCAGGAGGTGAAGGAGAGTCTCATGAGCCCACTAGAATTTCTGCACCTCTCTAGTGACTGTTCCCACAGTAACAGGAGCCCAGGGCTTTCCATGGGTTTCCATCCCAGTTTGCATTTGTCCCCACCATTTCTTCTGCCTGTTCCACTCTGATCCCTTCTCTCCTTATTGACACGCCGCCTCTCCTTTGTCCCATGAATGTGGTGCATATGTGTCTGACCTGAGCCTCCTCCAGTGTGACTCCTGACATTACTGCTCCTGTGGTTCTCTTCCTGGAGCATTTATTTCCTTCTGTCTTGCGTCACAGGCCATTATTTCTGTTTGTGTGTGCAGAAGGGTGTATGATTATGCTTTTCTCATTATTTTATCCCTAGGACCAGCATAGCACTGTCACAGAGTAATAATAAAAACGAGATTAATGATAATGCCTATCATGTATAGAGCTCTCTTTTGGGTTAGGCGTTTTACATATATTATTTCTAATCCTCAAAATCACCCTTTAAGAGAGATAATGTTTTTTTGTTGTATTTTGTTTTCCAATTTATAAATGAGGATATCAAGGCCCAGGGAAGTTAAGCATCTTACCCAAGGCCACACAGCTAATAGGGATGTGGCCTGGATTTGAGCTGGGGTTCTCTGGCTTCCTCTATTTCCTGTGCCTTTCCAGAGGCGGTTTATCCATAGGTTTCCACCCAGGAGAATGGCCTCTCTTTACCTGGAGACAAAAATGTGTCCTAGCCCTTGCGCTGAC